GACACACACACACACAGGACTCCCAGAGGGTCATGGTCAAACACCTTCTTTAAGTCCACAAAACACAGATAGGCTGGTTGAGAAAACTCATGCACTCTCCAGGACCCTGATGAAGGTGTAGAGTTGGTCCAGTGTTCCACAATCAGGACAAAAACCACACTGGTCTTCCTGAATCTGAGATTCGACTTTTCGGCGGACCCTCCTTTCCAGGATCCCAGAACAAACTTTACAAGGGAGGCTTAGGAATGTGATCCCCCTGTAGTTGGAACACCCTTTGCAGTCCCCCTTTTTTAATTATAACAAAAATTGCTTTTGGCGAAACTTGCTGAATTTTAATTGAAGAGCATTACCTTAGAGGTTTCAGAAGCAGGATACTGTAACATAAGTAAGCACTGTGACTGAGTGGTCACAAAGTAACACAGGAGGGACAAACTTCATACCAGAAGACAAGGAGATAGCACCAGAAGTCATTTCATATGAGAGAGAAAATTTGTAACTGTTCCTGTTCACTCTGATGTTTTATGGAAAGTGTAAATTATTCAGACTTATCTGGCCCACAACATCTTTTTTCCCTGTTCTTCAGAGTGATTGCTAAGACTTGTCATTATTCCCCTGATCTAAAGCTGCCCTCCTCAGGCCTGATGCAGTAATGCAGAAACTAAAGTGCAGATACATGCTTCAATCTGATTTTCTTAGACATCACAGAACCACAGGAATTGGTTAAGTGTTGGCCTTAGAGAAACATTTACCTAATTCTATTCAAATATGTATTTGAAGGCATACAGCTTTAACAGACCAGGTGAAAAAAAAGACAAGTAGACTTCTGACCGTCACTTAGACAAAAAAACTATTATTTCCCATCATTAAAACGTGAAAGGCAACAATGTTTTTGCTAGTGTGTGCATGTGCACACTAGCAAAGAGAAACATTACAACAAAGTGATTATAAATTCTACCTTTGCAATTTACTTTGTAGTTATCCATCCTTTCTATTAGTCTGCTAAAAATAGGATAGCGCAGCTGGTGCTGCTTTCCCCATCTGCACTGTATGACAACTACAGTACGTATGCACACACACATACACACCAACAAACACAGTAAGGGCTATGTTTCAGCCTTGCCAGCTGAACCTCATATTGCTGTGTAGCATGAAAGCATTTGTGTTTCATCATTAATTCTGGATTATTCTCTGTTGATGTTCCAATTCGTACTTGGAGAGAAAGAACCTAAAACCTAAAATAATTCTCCCTCGGATAGAATCAGGGAAAGGATCATTCATATTGTTTTTTAATAATTTCATGTCCGATTTAGTCCTAGCAGAGAGCTTAATCTAATCTGTTCTGATTTTTGTTCCTATTACTCCAAACAAGGGCTTCCATCCATGAGCACTGGATCAAAACTACATACAGTGGCTTCAGAAAGTATTCAGACTCTTTTCACTATTTGCTGCGTTGTTATGTTGTAGAATAAAGCCACAGTTATCTTTTTTCTCAATAATCTGTGCTCAACATCCCATAAAGAATACATGAAAACAGAATTTTGTAAATTTAAAGCTGGTACAATTCTGTAATGTCACTTTTTGATCAATATTCAGACCCTTTTTAGCCTCAAGTAGTTTTGTCTGATGCAACAACTTTTGGACACCTGGATTTAGATTTTCTGTCCTAAGCTCAGTCCAATTGGATGGCTATTTTCAAATCATCCCATGATGTTTGATAGAGTTCAGGTCACTGCATTGGCTAGGCTACTATAGGGCATCAACAGAATTGTCCATAAGTAACTACTGTGTAATCTTCTCTGTGTGCTTTGTGTAATTGTCTAGTCAGAAAGTCAAATTTTGGTTCAGTCTGAGGTCCAGAGCCCTATGGAACAGTTTTGTTTTTGTTTTTTTTTGTGTGTGTGTGGATATATCTGTGCTTTGCTTCGTTCAGCTTTCATTCGACACTAACCAGTCTTCCTGGCCTTGCTGCTGATAACATTTCCATTGCAAGATTGTCATGCTTCTCTGAAGGGATGCTGTTGGGTAAATGTTCCATGGTTTATTTCAGACATGTTATTTTTGATTTCATCAGACCCAATATTCTGAGTATATATATATATATATATATATATATATTCAATCAGGCAGAGTCTTCAGATGCATTCCAACCTAAGAAAAAAATGATAGTGCAGACTAAGTGAGACTGAGATATCTTTAGAAATCAAAGTCAATCTTATACCACATTTTATCCATTTGTCAAACAGTTTTCCATACCCAGTTGACCCTCGCAAGATCACAGGCAGCTTCTCCCTTGCAGTTTGTTATGTTCCTTAAACAACTTGTCTTTGTGTCTTCGATCCCGTACAAGCCCCCAAATTGTTATGTCCCTATGTGCCTGTGACGTGCATATTCTTCAAATACAAAAAGTCATAGAAAACATTTTTATATTTAAAAAAGTTGGAAAAATTCACACAATTTAACCCATTTTGTTCCACAACTGGCATATTTTCTTTTGAACTTGGCTCAGCCAAAGTGAAACAGGAAGTGACATCAAAGGGGAACTCTTTAAGAAAGAAAACTCTCTGGTTTTTGTTTATTGAAACATTACAGGTATTTGAACTCTGAGTCTTCTTCATTTCTCTCTGATAGACACTCAAAATAATTTTAAGAAACATTAGATTCTTCTCTACAGTCTGTGTTGTTGGCTTTTTTAGCAATGCTCTGTTCACATGCAGACATTCCCCTTTGACATCACTTCCTGTTACTTCACAGGCAAACATCTCAACAACTGTTCATGTCAGCAACATGAAATTTCCTTTTCAATATTTTATCAATGTCCTCTTTCTAAAAATGCATTCATGTATATTACAAAAATTTAAAGTCACAGGCACTTTGTTCAAAGTTAAGCAGTCAAGACTAAATATTTTTGCTTCTTAAAATGAGAACTATGAACACAACACCAGCATACTAAAAAGTCTTAATAAAAAACATTAAGTTACTGAGCTTTACAAAACTAAATGTTCAAACCTCTACTTATTTTACTTACCCAACTAACATAAAAGATCACATTCAGTTTTCCAATCCATAAAAAAATTACAGAATTTAGATCTTTCTGTGATGGGTAAAAGTGATTCAATGACAGGGTGCTTTCAATTAATGCACCCTCAAACCATACACATAAATACAAGCAATTGGAGCTTAAACGGAAATTATACTTTTATTCAAAAATTAGATCCAATCTGACATCTTCTGTTTCAAATATCTATCTTCATGCCATTATACTCTCAACCATGTCGTACTGTTTACCTGTTTGGTCTCTTACAACAAATGAAATCTTAGAACCCATAGTTAGGCTCTACAACAGGGCCTACAAAATTCATAAAAAAAACTTCCTGGTTTTCATTGTCTGATGCCTTGACTTTTCATAATTTTGTTTTGTATAGTAGTATTAATTTATATTTTCAGATCTTCCAAGGTGCCA